TTATTGTTCTCGAAAAACTATGGTTTTTGCGAATACTTCATGTATAAGCCACAACAATTTTTAGAAAACACAATTCAAATATCACAATTGAAGAGGTCAGGCTCAATAATTGAGGCCGTTTCAGGGGAGCCGAATCTTTCTAGGTACTTTTAAGATAAAGTCTTAAGTCGTCTGTAGTTCTTTCATATCGTGAACTTTCTCACGTGATCTTTGAATGGATAACTGCAAGAAATTCAACTATACGATTCTCTTATGTTTTTTGTATTGTGTTCATTTGTTAATCGTTGATCATACAATTTGCAAAAAGTGGTTATCAGCAACAAACCATCTAGACAATTATTATTATGCAACAGTAACCGGCGAGAGAAGCCTTGATTTCGTCGTTGTTCTTTCATTTCATGAACTTTCGCGTAATCTTTGGTTGAATGACTACGAGAATTGCAAGAAAAAGAGAAGAAAGTATCAGTTTAGAACAGCTTCATAATTAGATATTTTTACGAGCAGCTCAAGCGCAAGCAGGGAGGGGACATTTAACCAGCGCAAGACAACAAACAGAAGATGACAGAGAAGCGCGATTTTAAGCGAGCCTCTCGCTTAGCTAAGCACAATGACGGGAATGTTGTGTGGGTGTGAGTTCACGTAACCAGGGATTAACAGATGATGTTTTCACTCTTGCATTGGTCTCTCGAGTTATCCCTTTTTAATGTATTAAGCCTGACCACGAAGGATTTACAATATCACTACAATGTGGAGAGCAACAACATGCCCGCGAAACTAAGCGATTATGAATGAGTGCGCTGCACCAATTGTATACAGCAAGCCGTAGTCCTAGTAGCTTGCATTTATACTAACCTGCCAAATACGAAACAATGGTAATTGTGCTGCAGTCCAAAAGCTGCGCCGCAGCGCAAGAAACGCGGCACAAATTACTGTAATAGAAAAGTGTGCCACTTGATGCCTACGAAAAAAAAAAAGAGAAAGGAGTTGCCTTTTTTTTTGCACTATCTATGTTTTACTTTTTCGCTTTCATTTGAAAGTGTGGATAGGCGGATTATCACAACCGGAACAAATGCTTAAATAGCTAAAAAAAAATTCAGGTTAATTTTGTAAAGCTATCGTTTTGATGAGAAGATTACAAAAGGTAGGAAAATGCTTAACGATCAAAACGTCATGCTTGTGTAACAGACCTCAGCGAGAATAAAAAGGGATACTGTATGGTCTGTGTGCTACACTGCTGGACTACTAGTGTATAGAAACATCACGCCCAAGAACAACAAAGTTCAAGTCCTGGCAAAATAGTTAGGTTTATGATATTTTCTGACGTGGTAACGGGC